ACAAAAGCAGCAGCAATAACAACAACAATAAGGCGGCAACGACAACAACAACAAGAACAGCAGCAATAACAAGAGCAGCATCAGCAGCAACAACAACAACAAAAATCGAGAAAACGGCGCTATTAGAATATGAACATGATTTGAGGGTTTTTTTTTATACTATTTGTTCGTCTTTACCTTGCATGGATACATGAAGCAGAAGTGTCCTGTTATCTGTACCTATAGAGTTGTTTGCATAGCATAGATAAAAACCATTATCCTCCTTCCGTACAAACACGATATGAAGATACACGCCAAAATTAGTTACAAAGGAATTGCTCAGTTCACTGTTACTCCCCTCTTTTCGCCAGAATACAGTTGGCTTTGGCCATCCTTCAGCGCTACATGTAGTCACAATGCTGTTTCCTACATTGCTTTCTATATACATTTGCTTTGGACTTGTGATCCGTGGCTTGGCTGTGGGTTAAACACAGTACTAGTAAGTATAGTCAAGATTGAGAGATTTAGATGCACTGGTYATGTAATGGCAACTGTTTTGGRAGCAGGAGTACTGACCGTTTTAAGCGTTACTCCCGCACAAGAAAAGTAGTTTTGACATATAATGTCGATAGTACAAGCTCGCTATCATTGCAAGGTGTTCTCCCTGTTTATCAAACAGGGCCAGCGTGCGCGCGCGTAAATTTTGTAAGAGGCTAAATATTTAGGTTCAGTTTTCTCTTCTCCTTCTCTCTGCTTTCTGGTAAAACCATAATCTTAACTCTAAGCTTCTTTTATTGTGTTATCAACCTTTAGCCTCCAACTGATATCAAAGGGAGTTCTCAGGAACTATGGGTGCGGTTTACCTAACATTTTTGAGAAATTCAATTTAAATTATCGTTATTTCAAAATTCTTATATCTTTTCATTTAATGTATAAATATGCTCAGCTGGTCTGTTTGTGAAATATTCTGGTGGTCTTCAGCAGAAGGTTATACCCCACGGATACTATCTGGACGTCTGCGTGCACTCTTGAACATATTTAGCAATTTGAAATGCGAGAACTGAGTTCTAGTTGAAAATGAAAATAAATATGTGATACACCAAGTACTTCTTCGTCCTAATGCGGTGTCAGTCAGTGACCATTAGGTGGTTTTAGTCCAGCAGTTTTTCCGATTAAGCTTTTCCTATTAATAGTTCGGACTAATTATCGTTGTTTAACCTTCATTATGGAGAGTTATACGATCCGATTACTATTTTCGTTTGAGCTTCTAGTTCAGGTTCAAAACAACTGAATCACGTTCTCGCAGAATAACGTTCAATCGGACCTTGTCGTTGCTTCTCTCAGGGTTTTTCACATGAATTATTCCCCTAAGAGTGAAAAGCAAAATGCAAAACGCGCCGTATAATGTGGTTTCAATCGATTCACTTTTAAAAGATTTAAAATTTTTGCTGTTCAGTTGAATTCTTGTTACCAAGTTGCTTGTTAATTTGTTTTTAAAACGAAAAACTTTCTGAATTTCACTAAAATGCTGCGCGTTGTTTCCTTTTGTCCATTGCTCATTATGCAATTATTTTGTTATCTTCGATTTCTTTCATTGTAGAAATACCTTTATCAGTCTTTTCGATGTATTTAGCTAGCGTTGCGGTTTTAACTTACCGAAAATATGAACTGTCACCCAGTCTTCATCTGTTGTTCCATCTTTGCTGACTATACACCTGTACTCGCCATCGTCTCGACCACTGATATTGTCAAGCTTAAGTCCTTCCCACGTTAACAAACGGCGGCCATCTTGCCCGAAAGGAGAAACAAGCTTCACGTTGCTCAATACGTGACCATCTTTCTTCCAAAAGAAACGATCTACCGTTCCACCAAATACTGTGCAGTTTAGCAAAACATCAGTGCCAGGCCACACTCCTTCAGTGATGTTAGAAGGGGCTTTGAGTCTACAGAGCTGCGAGTCAACGCATGTAACGACTACAAAAAAGATCAGTGCAGTTGTTATCATTGTCAAAATGTACGAGCGAATACATCAGCAATACGCCTAGCAAGCCAATTTAGGAATTGAAATCAGCTTTGTTTTCCTGCCGTGATTATTTTTACGTTTTTTGGAAACAATGTTAGTCGGCACTGTTTGAAACTTTAATTACAAGAGGGCTCCTAGTGGTAAACCTCACTGTAATATGGTATGCATATTTCTCATACATCAACCGAGGAGCGAATTCAATTAGACCACCACTACAGAACAGAAAGAAAAGGTTAATTTCGAATTTGATTTTTTTGTTTTCTTTTGGTAATGATATCCGCATGTAAATCAGAGAACTTAATGCCTAATCAAGTCGCCATTATAGAGGTAGTCCGTGACAGCTTTATCTAATTAGGAACTATGATAGATTCTTTATTGTCAATATTTTCTATTTTGAGGCTTTGAGTTTGCGCACACTTTGTATTTGCCAGGCGCTGTCTTTGACTTTTTGAAAAAAATCAGATAGTGAGCTATCATTGCAACGACAAACGACTGCTTAAACCTAGGCGGGCCAGGCCACAACAGCGTGTTTGAATGATTGCGAGGAATTTACGTTGCTCTCAAAAGATGGATAGCCGCAACAAAAATAATGACGGCGTCTGTGGACTCTTGGATAAAAAAAAACAAGGGTGTGATATGTACACCGCCATGTTGGACGAATAAAAACAAACAAACAGGATGAACAGGACGATGATCTTGTAATCAAACATGGCGACTATGAGCGTCTATGAACAAGCCGCCTGAAGAGGTTAAACTAAGCAGTGTAAAGGTCAGTTCATSCATAACCCAAAGTAACTAAATGAGAATGATACACTGAACTGTAATTTGTGTGGAGGATTTGAGCATTAATGCTGAATATTACTATTTACTGAAGCCTTTTTAAAGGCGGTCATGTTTACAGGAGTCGTTTYGTATAAATATTAATTGTCGTTGTGCACAGGTGTGTATTTCTGMATGTAGTGCATGTAAGCACGTCCGGCTTTTTTCAGCCGTTTTTGTCTTCTTTCATTAAATGAGCTCGCCAAAGGAAGCCCGCCCTTGTGGAGAGTCGAAAGTGGTTCGCGGTGTCTGCACATTGCGAGTATAACTTTGAAAGAGATTTATGAAGAGCTTTTAAATCGGTTAAAAAGTTGATACAGACTGAAAGGCGTTTTTCATAACCTAATCTACTTTTAAAAAGGTTCACATTTAAGGCTAGCCGTTGTTTTTCAATCAGGAGTGTTTTCTAATAAATATCGTATATCCGAYCATGACTCGGTAACATGAGTAGGCAGAGGCTCGAACCCTCGCACAATGAGTCATGATTTTTTAATCAGTTTACGCCGGTAAACTGTGATACGCTTTGAGCTCCTAATAACTGGATAACATGATGTAAGACACAAAGCACCAAAAAATACACTGTGATTTTAGCGATGATTCTATAGTACCTTCGCTGAATTGCATGTCGAACATACTTAATTCAATCTGCGCATTTGAATTTTTCTCACTTTTTCCCCTTTATTGCCTTAAGTAGTTTCATTCTCTCTGTTTCTTTCTCTCTTTTTCTCCGAGTATGTCAATCACTGTCTTTCACCGAGTCTCATTTCAGTTTCTTGGTCTTATTTGTCTTTTTCGTTGCAGYGATGTACTGCTTCGYCTGTTAACCCGTGACTGCTGTGTTATAAAGCAAATTTGATATTGCTAAAAGAGCATATTTAAAATGCCTATTGAAACCGGCTAAATACTCTATGAGTCGAACAACTACCAGTCTAAACAACTAGAAATATTATCTCTTGATCCCAGTCATTTCACTTGAACTGAATTTCGTCTGCGTCATTAGAACAGAGTGAGTCTTTCTTGGAAAACAATCCTATTTCAGTCTAAGTGGTCGAACTCTACGTAATGCACAACTAAACGTGATAAGCAAAAACGTCTCCATAAAATCGGTAATTTAAAAGCATAACAAAAACACTGAACATTCATATAAGATTACCATTCTGTATTTCCTATCCCCCAATACTCCTCCTACCAAAACTAACTCACCTGCGCGAAGTCATTTAATGAATTCCTAAACCTGATTGGTAGAGATATTTCGAGTAACCATGGTCACTGACCAATTGACAGAAGTTACCATTTGAACAATACTCGCCACAAGGGTTAGTCTTCATGTAGCGCCGAAAATTCGTCGTATATTCATCAGGCCATTCATCGTATATTTTGATAAGCCGGATAATACTTAGGAATAATAAATAAAACTAATTGTTCTCGATACCTTAAGTAACGGAAATTAAGCCGAGCCTCAAACTTTTAGTGCTATATACAACTTTTTATTATTATATAAGATTGGAAAGCGTAACTGGATATTTTCGATCTACAAAAGAATTATGAGAGTTAGATAATCTTTCGTCAACAACCGAGAAGCAGGCTTGAGTGACATGCGGCGATTGTATATTTCTCATAGGAGCATTGTATACCTGATGCGTTTTCGATGCGTTCTCGYAATGTTTTTTCATCTCGTGCAGAACGGTACAAAAACGTTACGGAAACGCATCAATTTGGCGTAAACAAGGCCTTATATTTGCGAGTCTATAATCCAAAGAAAAGTGCAGGCAAATATTCAATATTAGAATGTTTTATGCAAGATATCTATGATCTATGGAATGCTTTGAACTGATTTAATTGCCATAGTTTTTTTTTTTTTTAAGTATCAGCTCTTTTCGCGGTGAGCATCGGGGCGGCTTTGAAAGTTTCATTATGTTAACAAATTTTCAATTATTCAAAAATTTCGTCTCTTTAAAAAAAAAAACTTATAGCAATGCCTTTTATTTTATATAAGACAAGTTGTATACACATTTTAAGCTGACCTTACGATTTGACGTTTATCAAAAATAACAAGCGATGTATGATTTTCTTTACCACAAAATTCAATTTTCTAAAATGTTGAGTATAATCAGTATAAAAATTTAAATACGAAAATAATGGGGTAAAAATACATTGATATTTTGACGCTTGCGTTTGGTACTCACCGCAAAGGAAGACAATTACTACCAGCATATTGAGCTACGAGCGTAGCAGAGAATGGCAAGTGTCTGAGGAACGGAGCTTCCCATATGAGGTCTTATTAACAAAATTGAGTGAAGGACACGAGGAGTAAAAATGGCAATTATACTCCTACGAGTCAACCGCCAACACAAAGACACGGATATCAGGTGCAATACTCAATCAACTGTACAGTGCTTTCTCCACTTAAACTGATATCCAGACATTTTCATCAATTTATGTGAAAAACGAGTGGATTAACTCTTTTAAAATAATTAAAAACGGTTAATAAACTATACTTTACAGAGTTCATGCTAGTCAACATGAATTGGTTTTAGATCTATTGGATCTGCAAGTTGGCTTATAAAACGCCAAATTTCAACCGAACAACGTCCACTCGCGCGCCTATGCAAGCTTGTGAAACGTGTTCACGTAGAATTGTTTATAATATGCAAAAAAAGACAGTGTGTCTACAAACTGTATTTGAAATACTGAATGTAATGGTAATGATCATCTAAAGCATTCTTATTTATCATAATTAAGTGGAGGACGTTAAATAGCGGTTTTTAAGAGTGTCTATAACGATATTAAACTCCTACATCTCAAGATATAGTCCCCTGGATAGTAAACTGCACGGTGGGCATATCCACCCACCTGGAAATCAATAAGAATGTTCATTTAAAAAAACGCCAATAAATAAAGTATGTGTTTTATTAGCACATTTGAAGGAAATTATGCGCCCTCAAAGAAATTAAAAACACAGTGGAAAGATTTTAACGGCCCCGTCCACACAGATAAGCTTGGTAATGATTTGCAATAGGGTCTAGCAAACAATTGTTTACAAATTGCTGACGGTGTGGGGACAAGAACTCTGATCTAAAGATAGTGTTTTTGAAATGTTAAAGTAACAATAACATTTGTAGACATTATTTACTAGTTACAAACTTCTTATAAATATTGAATAAATCCCTAAATGTAGCGATCCAAAATTTAAAAGAACATTCCTTGTTGTAGATCCACATTGATCCGATCGATATCATTGAAGTCAAATGCTGAAAAATACATTCTCCCCAGTATTAATTATATGAAACTATATCTTCCTAATGGAAGAGTAGATGGTGAGTAGTTGGGTGTCTGTATTTTATCCTCAAGCACTGTTGTGATACATTCAAATCGTTTTTTCCTGCAGATAGCTTTTATTACCAAAACAAAATAACAAGGTAGTGCTTTTAACATTTCTCATGAGTTTTCCCATTGACTGGGACCCACTATACCCGGAGCTAACATCTGTAACGATTTTGATTAGAATTTACAAAWATCAGCAAGAAAAAGGGGAAAACACTTTTTCGTGTGGAGACCATTTTTAAAACAGGAAACTTGCTCGAGATGTTTTGTGAAAGTGAAAGTACCGACAACGGAATACAACTTAGAGCTTKAAAGAGAGTAGAAAATATTTGAATATTAAAAACCGTTGTTGACAAATTTAGATTAAGCAAAGACGTTTGTCTTTTCAGGAAGGGAGTGTTTTTGTTTGCCGGGTGTCGTGGCGACTGTATGCTCAGGGCAATATAACCAAAATAACATGGCTTTCAATAGCTTGTATGAACTCTAAAAATATATTAGTAATGAAAATTGTTTTGAAACAGAGGAAATAATATAAAATTCACAATAACAAATAACAAATAACAAACTCTCTTGTGAATGAACAATGTACTGGGTTTCGCTTTGCATTGCACCCGTTGGCCTGCTTTGCTTTGAATCATCCTTGATTAACTTTGTTATTCTTTTCATTTTTTTGTGTGTAGAAATTCTTTCTTTCTTGCCTTTTTGATTCATTTTCATTAGAAAAGCTGATAAAAATAGGTTTTGTCCTTTGATGCAAGTCGACACAGTAAACAAAGTTTCTATTTTCTTAACAAAACCTTTTGATGATATTATTTCGAGATCAATAGAGATCATAAAAGAACACTGATCCCATTTTTCATGTTTGAATGCTAAAATCTCCCAGGCAGTGTTAGATAATAACCTTGAAACTAATATCAAAGATGACCATGAACACGCACTTGGAGTATTGTCATATAAACTCTAAATAATGAAAATTTACTAACAAATATACAGGTAGTCTACTCGGCACCCAGAAATACGCTGCATCGGGGTATTGGATATTTCGCAAGCTCGAAAATTATCGCAATTCCCAACTTTAGCAATATTTTTAGCTCTAATGTTAGGGTTAATTTTAAGGTTATTTCTAGGGTTAGGATTCTGTGTTTGTTGTCGTTTTTAGTTGCTTCTTTGACGAAATGTCATTTGGAGTTTGACGTGAAATAGCCTCTACCGTGGCATGGATGCTACGAGGGAAACAGGAAGCCCAAACTCTGTGACTTCCTAGCACATGTGTGTCCACGTGCCCAGTGTATCGAATAAGACTTCCTCAAGAGAGGAAGTCACTGTTATATCTGTATGATATTGCAGTATATTGCAATCTATTTGGATATAAAGGTGTTCATTGTAGATCGTCAATAATTGTTTCTCGTTTTTTTATTAATTGATTTTCATCTTCAGAGTTCGGGAGGTCTTTTGTAACCTCAGTTGGAATGGCACAGCGCCATAGTCTGGCTAATTGAGGAAGAGATTCCATTCCAATGCAGTATCAGGTAATTTTCCTAGTAATACAAAGCGAAAATAATTTCTAAAGTTGTCATTAATTTACGAAAGCGTGAAATTAAAATGCACAGCTTCTGACATCCTGTCTATGTTTTAACCTCATATAATACGAGTTTTTATATTTCTATTTTATTTAATTTGTACTTGACGTGAATTCAAATCCATACCGTGCATCCTGTTTGAACGCGCATGTCATATTCAAAGAGAACGACAAAAAGAAAGACATACTGAAAGCAATTATAGTGCATACAGCTAGTTATATATCGAGAAATGCAGTAGGCAAAGTACTAGAAATACTTCAAATATAACATGCACTCTTGAATAACAATTTTTACACTGCGATATCTGTCGATCATGGTATTAAGTGGTTCAGGTTTCGTAGTGAAATAAACGTACGCGCGCTCAGCTGATACTCTTCGCGTTTGCATTTCAAGTTCAGATTAGTTCAAAAATTATTCGCTTTTTATGTTTTGTTTTGCTGCAGCGTGCGTCATGCAAGAAATCCAGTACCTTTTTGATATTTACTTATTTAGTTTCTAGATACCATTATTTCCTATGCTAGATGTATGTTACCACTATTTCCGATATTCATATGATAATCTACAGTCTTGTTGTTTTAGTGACAGATCTTATCCTCATAAGTTGGCGCCTTGTGTACAGTACGACTGATAAACATAGAAAGCAAACCACGCCCATGCCAATGAGAACCCAGTGAGGCGCAGTTAGATTGGAGTCTGAAAAATAGCAGAACGGATTTCACTTAACTGTCACCATATCAACCCTCCTTTGTGCAGATATTCTCGTTCTCATACCCTCCCCATCTCTAGGAGTCAGAGTCATTGGGATGAAAAGGGCCTGAGAATGATAACACCTTTGTTGCTTTTATTAGCGGAGAGATTGCACAACTATAGAGGTACTATGGCTATTCTACATCGATAGAAAAATACTCATATGAGGCAGTAGAGATGTTATACAAGTAATGAATACATGTAAAGCATGTAGCTTCTCCGTCGGTGGACATCATTCGACGCTGCTTCGAATGGACGTCGTTTTTGACAACATACGTAGATGTAATAATATAATATACTATAATGCCAGAAAAATCTGCAAATACCTTTTTTCCACAAAGTCTTTGATGTGTCGTGTGCCGACGTGTCTTCATTCCTAACAATAACGATGGGTCCTTGCTCTAAAATAAACGTTTCTTCCTCGCTGGAATCTCGTCTGTGTCTCAATCTTACATCAGTAACACTTTCATCGCATCCTCTGGCACAAATCGAGTGTCTGTCTGTAGCATTACACAGTCTCACTTCACAGTGGATGAATACATACGGGATATTTGTTGAGTGGACGAACTGGAAGGCTTGGAAACTAAATCGTTGTGCCCAAGGGGGAGAGGGGTGTGTCTTGAATGTGGAATCTTTTGGACACCTAAAAAATCGTACATCAACAATAATATTGTTTTTATACGTGATTGAGATCAGATGAAAAAAAGAAAGAGAAGATTGATTGAACACCTCTTTAGAAGGTTCTCTTGGACAGTGCGAGGAGGCGACTGCGTGAGCAAATATACTTGGTCCCCAAACATGGGATCAAATAAGTCTAACACATTTATAGAGAAATAAACCACTGACATGAAAGTTTATTCAGCTGTATATGTAAACAAAGAAGTTACCTGTTTTCAATTATGATGTATCTGCTCTCAGACGTTTCGCCTCTGGTGGGYGTGGCATAACACGTGTCAGCAGTGACAGATAAACCCTTATCTATTGAATCTACATTCAATTGAAAATAAAGCCTTTGATTTAGAGAAACTGTAACAGGAAAGTCCTCGTGTTGATCGACATACGAGCTGTCTATATATAAACCCATTTGTAAGTCAAACTCCCCAGAGCCATCTTCGACATCTAGCTGGAGTACTTTGTTCTTTACGCTGAAGTCTGTATAGGATGTGGCTATCTGTAGATAGGAAAATATTGTTCATTTTTATCTTTGGTAATAAGAAAACCTGTGAAAGTAAATAAAAAAAAGGAAAAAGGAAAAAAGAAAAAAGAAAAGAAAAAGATAGGAGAACAAAACAACACTAATGCTATATTACTTGCCTTTTTTGGGTAAGTACATGTAACTGGTATCTCTAAAATAGGAAGTCGATTTATAACTGCACTCTCGTCAAACGGCTTATTCTTGATCATGTTTGTGTATGTAATACTAGTATTTGTATGATGACTGATRGTACCGCACCCAATCAGTGGAATCATCAATTKAAAGTGGGTAGAATTRGCTTGATGCTCATATTCGKCGCATTGGGAGTCGAGCAGACTCAAGTCCTCAAKATAAAAGTCCGGTATGAATGTCTTTTGGATCGATACAATCATGGAATTTTTGCTACAAATTATTGTAACATCGTCATTTCCTGAAAAGAAAAAAATTATAAGAATAAAATTAAAGATAAATGAAAAAACGTGAAATAAAAAAATGTAAAGACCGTTTTTATTCTTTTATTTATTTATAAGACAATTTGACACCTGGAATCAAAGACACGGGATAAAATAAAGAATTAATAAAAACAATCGTTGGATTTCGCGATCTGTTTTTCTGTGTTAACATCCATTGTGTGTTAGTTAGTTAGTTAGTTAGTTAGGCGGATGACTCCGAGATTTGACAATGGCACTCCAAACGACCCTGTCTTCCATCAACGTAGCCAGCTCGTGTGAGCTGATTGCCCCTGTTTGTTAAATATTCAGAAATTTAGATCAAACTCGTGARATTTCGCATCTCTTGCATTTTTACGGTCTATTMCTGAATAAAAGAACATATTACATGGTTTCGTAATAAAGAGATCGCTAAAACGGTTTTAATTAATCAATTGAATTATTTTCTAGAATCCCATGGTTCACTTCGGTCACAGTGACCGCATGAAACAAAGAATACCTGTTTTCGGCGTTTTGATACAGAATATCACAATTATATACAGATTTACCAATGCAAAGTTATCCACCAAATTATTAAATCTGACCGTGCAAAAGCCACAATTCATCAAGTATTCAACAAACCTCAGTTCTTACGTTATGTGAATGTCTGTGATGTYTTGTGTTTTGGGTAGTCAACCGCACARCTCGGCATGGTGTCGTTCAGCAATATGTTTATTCGTATTAATAAACTAATTAAAGCTTTCAACAGTATTTCTACGATTTTTGATACACAGTTTATAGGATGAATTAACTTTATTTTGTATGACATTGTTCTTATGAAGTTCTTGCGTGACATGAGAACAAACATTTTCTAAAAAGATCAACGGGTACTGAGTAATTCCTGTGCAAATCAAAGTCGACTATGTGTACTTACTCTTTGATCTTCGTCTGGTTGGCTTATTAGAGAGAAATCAGATCAAATTGCGACAAGTTCACATTCATATTATTAGCTTACAGTTCATGATGATGGCCAATTTATTATCGATAAATATGAAATGATTTCTCGACATACCTTTGGTTATGATAAACACAGATGCAAGAACGATTATCAGTCGTGTCGCCAACATTTCGAGAACCAGCTTAATGTGATATGGATTCACATCAGGTTTCTGTGGTTAACTGCGGCGAGTCAGAAGCAAGCCCGCTGCCCAGATTTCAAACCAAAATGTTAGTTCTACGTCAATGTTGTGAGAGCTGATTCCTTGCTATGTTAGACATTTATAGATGGTCTGATGATAAGAAACCCCGAAACTGCTTATGTTTGAAGACCATGCATTTTTCTACACGACCTTCGGGCATTGAGAAGCGTGAAGCGTTACATAAATACATAACGTATTACAGCTAAACAATACTTGTCTGCTCGTGGTATTAGCCTCAAGTGATGGGGTTAATTGCACAAAACGGAGTGGTCTTAATTCGTGCGTCAAATTGTTTATAATTCAGGAGGTAAACCAGTGACAGTAAAGTCAAATAGTCAAGGTGATATATAGTCAAAAAATGCAAAAAATATATTTTTTTAATTCTTAAAATAATATATTGGCAGTGGCACTTTTTTTATTGGATACTGTATTCTTTGGATGACATATTTTAAGTATTCAAATGATTAACAACTTAACACATGTTTTCTTTTTTGCGGTCTCAACTCAAAGCGTCACTAAACTATTCAGCAAAAAAAAATCGTCAACAGTACATTGCAATATGGCGGCCATCTTGAGTTTTATTATTTACAGTAAGAATGGGATAACAATGAATTTCAAATTTATACCATTCAAATTTTAAGCATAAAATTAAAAAGGAAACCATGCTATCTTGAGAACATCCCATAATTTCTTTAAATTCAAGATGGCGGCCGCCTTGGCAATAGGGTCAATTCAAGATGGAAGCCGCCTTAATAGGTCTTAAAGGTCAATTCAAATAAAGTCAAGACAGCCGTAAAACACTGGAAAAAATCGCGCGCTTTAAAGGTCGTAAATTTGATGTAAATATGATGTAAGTGTTCAAAATTCTGTAAATTTAATGGAAATCATTTACATCAAATTTACAGAATTTTGGACACTTACATCATATTTACATCAAATTTACAACCTTGAAAGMGCGCGATTTTTTCCAGTGAAATAAGGTTAATTGAAGATGGAGGTTATATTTGTAATATGGTCAATTTTGTTATTGATGATGATTCATCCAAGCTCGAATAAACAAAATGCATTGAAAATAATAAAATAAACTAAAATTTATTGGCTTGATCTTATCATTTCTTTTTTATCATTTACGGCATTATTAAAGAACTCATTTTCTTTAAGGCCAGATGTTTAGAAAACTTTATAATTCAGATTTTTCCCTTAAGTTTTTTCCCTTAAGTTTTAAACATTTGCTAAGTGCAAAAATGGCTGTTTGATATCGTTGGACTGTAGTGTTTCATCATCTTTCCTTGCCATTCGATTCTACTTCATTTTCACGAGTTGAATGAACTTGCTGCACAGTGTCAGGCATTGCTTGGTTGTATGTTTCAGGCAAAAAGAAAAATAATATTCCACATATGACAGCAAAAATAGCCATGATACCACACGGCATAAGATGATGTACTTTGAAAGACATTACATAATGATGGTTAATTTGATARGGAGAGAGTGGAGCGATTTAAGATCAGGAAATTTGTTGAAACTAAAAGTTCAAAAATATCGGCGTTGTGTAGTGCGGACGTAATGCGTCGACGCTTTTAAAAAAATGTCAGTAGCCCTTCACTGAATTAATGTTATTTCTAAAAAACATATTTCCGCTTTCAATKGAATGTTGGCATTGACCCTGGAACTTGATCCCGCCCCTCACCAATGTAGATGGAGAATTTCGTAAAATCACAAACTTAATATTGCATTTGTAGAAGATTTTCTGGACGTATTTGTCACTTACCATCGTTTAACGCCAGCTATTAAAATCAGAAGTTCCTCTATGCAACTGTAAAACATACTTATAGKGAGTACTCGCGGCTCCAATGCTAGAACACCAGTATTTCTGGAATACATTTTAAAAGCTATCAGATCATGGTATGCGTCAGTCATCACTCATTACAACTCCATAAATTAAGAAATTGATTTTCGGAAGCACTTCTAACCTCCGGAGAGACCTAGTGAATGTTAGAAGGCAAAGCTCCATTAAGGCTAATGGAATTAAAGCTAACTGACAACCGTTGGAAAGAGATCAGTCTGAGGAATAGACGGACATTCCATCAAAAATAATTGTGATCGAAAACATGCCAAGCACCRAAGTCGACAGGATTTTCCCAGCAAGAACATTGAAATATTCTTACTGAGATTATTCCTGGAGTGGAAGCCTTGCTTAGCTAGTTCAACACGGACTTCTCTMTTCACAGGATTCATTCGAACATGACGAAAATTAGTAAAAAAATAAAATAAATAAGAAAGTTTACAAGCCTAGATGGGATCAGTTTACTTAAATGGTATACCGTGTGCTGTTGCTTCGCTTCACCCAGCTCACTGCCCAAACGACATTAGTATGTAGTGCATAATAAAACTAGTTGATCTAGTTTGGTTAAGTAAACCATTTGAAAAGACACATGAGTCGAATTCGGCAATGCAGGGAAGATGGGTGATGGTAGCCTTTCCAAAAATACACCTAAAAGATATCAAAAGAATATCTTTAAAAGGGCGTGGTTTGGTTAAAAAACAAAGTAAAATGCTAAARCCTTGTAGGTTAATCATTGGTATTAACGTGTTATGTTGTCCGTATAGTGAAAGCGAGAATTAAAAACACTCTCTATTTTACACAATGGACTTTTATAGAAGTAATATTCAGATTATACAAAGCATGTGAAATTTAGGATCGTATTTAGTTCTCATTTTATTGAACGCCGCGGCGCCCACACTCAAGATGGCCGGATGGGTGACCGTTTTTGCTCATTGTTTAAGAAAAAAATCCTTATTTTCTTTTTGTTGAAACATTTCTTTTTCTTTCTGAGGTTTGAACCTAATAAAGAAATAATGATAATAATTCGAATTATTTTAAATTCTTAATTTTAGGCATTATAAATGTCACACAACACTTCCATGGCATTACATTGACGTTACATCTTAGGATACCCAGTTTTGTGGGTTTTAACTATTTTTTTCTTTTTGAACTAATTTAATGTGAAATTAGTGAGAATGTTTTTAGGGAAAATTAATTTTAATAAGTTGTTACCTAATTTTTATATAGGGTTAATTCAAAATTGCATTCCGCTTCGAATAAACATAATACATGAATGAACTGAAATTGGATTGGGAAAGCTTTTATTGGATGATGATGTTATAATGAGACCATACAGTACTCCAACTCATCTTCTTAAACATTTGCTAAGTGTGAAACTGGCTGCTTGATGTCGTTGGACTGTATTTTTTCATCATCTTTCTTGCCATTCAATTCTACTTCACTTTCATGAGTTGAATGAACTTGCTGTACAGTGTCAGGCATTGCTTGGTTCGATTCTACTTCATTTTCACGAGTTGAATGAACTTGCTGTACAGTGTCAGGCATTGCTTGGTTGTATGTTTCAGGCAAGAAGAAAAACAATATTCCACATACGACAGCAAAAATGGCCATGATACCACACGGCATAAGAGGATGTACACGTTTCTGAAAGAGAAAACCAGATTTATAGGGGATATAATTTACATCGCTGATCGATACCACGGGGCGAAGTCGAGTGGTTTTAAGATCACGAAATCTATTGAACAAAGATCCAGTTATTTACCGATCAAGAGAGTATTTACCGAGTATACAATATAGGGGGCRCTAGCGGAACCAATGCGAGCGGCGGTACTTGACGTCCCAACACCAGTATTTCTGAAAGATATATTGTCAATTTAGAATAAATAAGCTATCAGGTCATGATGTGCATCATTCATTATGACTTCATGAGCTTCAAGCGGTGTTGGACACAGCGCGAGGTGAATGCTGAGCTTTTTTTGACCAATCATGCTGCGAATGAAGGCCTTTTTGACTTTTGACCAATCTTTGACTTTTGATCAATACAGATCCTTATCGCGGTCCAAAACCGCTTGATGAGCTCAGTCCCTAAAAAGGTCTTAGGCTGGTGAATCGTGGTGAAGTTTAAAAGGCAAGCAATGTCTTATTATTTGAGGGCCGATCTATCATATTATTGTAATCTACCTGACAACAGTTGGAAAGAGCTCTGAGGTGTAAACATATAGTCCATCAAAAACAATTGTGATCGAAAACATACCAAGCACCAAAGTCGACAGGATTTTCCCAGCAAGAAAGCCTGAAGATACAATGATAAAGATCATGATGATGATGATGATGATGATGATRATGATAATGATAATGATGATGATGATTACTTTAGATTGTAATAGACGTCATGCATACCTTTGCTTCCGTCATCATAGTAGGTGAGTACGGCTCCCATTACCATGGCAACTGCACCTAGCCAAATACTAACCATCAAGCATTTCCTTCGTCCAAACCTAACAACAGGAACATCGTGAGCGAACCTCAACTACAACCGACCAATGCTGGGTTTTTGTTTGATAGTTGTCTTACGACGGGTATCTGTGGCTCAAATAGATAGTGCAACAGGGGTATTCATCAATAGTCCGGCTTTTCAGCAAAATTCGTTACTGCAGTAAATTTATTCGGTACAGGATAAAACGTACTAAGTGTTGCCGGAGGTTATAATTCAGGAGGCACTACTTAGGAACTGATATGATATATATAGCCCCATAAATTACACTGATATAATAATGA